TTGCCGTTTTTCTTTGAGGGTTGGGCGGCCCCCAGTTTCCTCAGGAGTTCCCAGCTCTTTCTACTTGAGTGGGTGAAATCCATATTATCCATTGCCGTAATCCATCTGTTTATAGTACTTATTGTATGAATATAAATAACAGATTGTGAATATTCTATTTTATCTAGTAAAAAAAAAAAAAATTACATATTAAATAACAAAGAATAACAAGTTTAGTTCTCTATATTATTACTCTGTTTGATGTTTCATGGATAGGTTCTTGAAATTTATAGAGTTTAACCTACTTTTTATTCTAATATTAATATTTAATGTCGTTTATGACTTATATTAATACTTTATAATAAATTGTATATACTTACTATGAATGGCTAAGTGTCGACATATATATATATTTCTTATATTGGATATATAATGAATATAATTTGATTAATTTGGAATTTATTTTATAAAGGTACCTAATTTTTTTTTTGTTTTTTTGAAAAAATAAATTATAATTAATCTTCTATATATCTATAAATTAATTTCTGTCTGTCTGTCTATCTGTTTGTCTTTTATGTATTMTTAAACGGTTGTTCTGATTGCAATGAAATTTGGTTCACAGATATATTAGACCTATGAGCAGAAGATTGGCTAAATTAAAAAGAGATAGGTCTAAATGTCATTCAATTGAATATTTGAATTGTCAGACTTTTCTTGATAAAACAAATAAAATTAGATAATGATAAACTAAATTGAATATTGGTGTGAGCTATACTTAGTATATTTTAAATATTATCTATCTATATGTATAAAAATATACTGCTAGCATAATCAGATGAAACAAATTTAATGCACAGTTTGAGACATATAAGAAGTAGGATTTTTAACGGCCTACAAAGTGTATGACTTCAGCTAGTATAATTTAAAATATCCTAGATTGACAAACCATCTCCGCTCAAAATCATTTTTCGTTTACAATCATTGAATTCAAATTTAATACCATCCATTACAGTGACCCACTTATAATCTGCTGTACTGTAGAGTGACATCCACTTGCCTGCTTTTGTTATGAATGTATTAGTTTTTGATCTATTTGCAAACTCTTTCAATATAAAGGCTAATTAAACAGTTTTTGAAATTATTTTTTTATTTTCATTAATTGAATATAACTTATTCAAATGTTTTCAGGATATATCTACAATATCGACTAGTGAAAAGTTAGAACAGTCAGATAAATCCATACAATTTAAGGAAACTTCTGTTCCCAAAATAACAATTACCGAAGAAGAAAGTAAAAAAGACCATAAAGCATTATTGCAACAAAATGAAGAAGATGATACATTCCAATTAACTAAAAACAGTATGTTATTTTCACAAGTATCACAAGTAGATCCCTCAGTTTTTCAATCTTTTGTGAAACCTAAATGTGAAAATAATACACAAGAGTGTGTCATGGTTGAGGTTAAAGAACATGAAATACTTAAGTCAAGTGTTATTAGTCATGGTGAAGTAACTGCAGTTCACCGTGTAGTTCCTGAGGGTTATGCAGAAATGGTTGAGTTATCTGAGGATACAGAAACAGATGCAGATGAAACAGATGAGGAAAAATGGCCTCAAATTGTATATAGAAGAAAAAATACAGAAAAAAAATCATGTTTGAGCCCTTGTGAAATTTTAGTCAAGCGACAAAAACTAGCATCAAATGATTCATTAAAGTCTAGTTTAGAAAGTTTACATAGTAATTAATTATTTTTTTTAAATTAAGTGTCTTATTTCTTTTTCAATATATTTTATACTTTAGGTAAAGAATATATTCCATCCTTAGAAGAAGAACAAAAAAATCTTACTGATTCTGTTTGTGTTAAAGTAAACAAAACTCATCATACCACAATAACTGCATGGCATAGTCCAAAATCTGATAATAGTAAAGAGGTTATACTACATAAAGAAATAGAACTGTTGGATACATACAGAATTATTGGAGCTGATCATGATGTAAATAATTCAAATGCATTTAAAAACATTCCTGAAGATAATGATAGTTTTTATGGGAGTGATAAAGAAACTGATGACATAGTATTATTTTCTGAAGACGAAGGGCTCAATGATAAATATCCAGATTCTAGTTCATCAGATGATGAACAAATAACCGAGGTAAGTAATATATTTTGTTAATTCTTTTGCAATAATCAACTACTAAAAACAATGTTGAACATTTGTATGATGGAGATAACAAATGCCCATGTAGCATCCAGGCATCCTCTTAACATATAGATAGGTATTTTAAATGTCAATTTTTATTCTTTTTTAACTTTTCATCTTAAATAAAGAATATAAAATTTTAAATATTTAGTAATTAGATTTAACAAGAAAAAATAAATATTATAGATAAACAATGAATAAAAGAGATATTATCATAAAATAATTGTAAAATTACTTTCAAATTAATTAAACTATAATACATTTCATATAAATTATTATATAATCATGGTTAGTTAATATTTTAAAATATTATATGATAAATTTTATATTAGTATTATTGTTATATCTATTATACATATTTGTTTAAAATTAACAAATTTGACAAATATAACTTTTATTATGTATGCATTGCTATTAAAATATTTAAATTAGGTGATGGAATTTTTAGTGAATATTGAATTAATTAATAATAAACCAGTGTCCATGGTCACTAAGGTGTGTAGTAATAAAACCAGTTATGAGTGTGTGTAGTAACTTGGTCAGTAGTATTGTACAATCACACTATAATATTTTAAACATTTCAACATTTCAATGGCTTCAATCATTATTATTACATTCTATAAAAATGTATTGAAAAAAAAAATAGTTTCTTCTAATTATTATAACACTAATCCTTTTTCTCAATACTTTGATATCATATTTTTTGATAAAAAAAAAATTATGAAATAAGCCATTTTTTTTAAATAAAGTGATAATAATATAATGTGTGTTTTTTATATATATACTAAATACCTATTGATTTTGAATTATGTGAAAATAGATATTCTTGTTTATCTATTTATTATTTATATGTTAAACATGATATAATTTCTTTAATTAATTTAATCACAATATTTTTACATACAATTGTTAATTTTAATATAAATCAATTGATAATGAATTAAATTAAATATAATTTATTTGTTAAATTTCTAAATACATAAAAAATGTTCATCCAATATTAAAAGATGCTATTTAAAATAATTAACTAATGACCAAAAATATATTTATACATTTAATTACTAAAAACAATGCTTAAAATGGTAAGATTAAGTTCCATTCATGATCATTTAATTACTATTTAATTATAATTTATTTACTAACATGTCTTGTTTTTTTTTCAAATATTCAGGGTATTTTATTTGTGAGGCAGAAAGCTGAAAAATTAACTGCATCAAAATCACCAAATACATCAATAATGAAAAATCTAGATGTAGATATTGAAAAATATGAAAATGAAGCAAAACAAATGTTGACGAGGATGGAAATTACATTAAAAGACCTTAGACAATTAAATACAGAATCAGATCCAAATAAGCGTTATGAGGTAATTTTTCAACATCTTCACTTTTAAACAAAATACCTACTTCCATTTTTTTTTATTTAACAGTCTGTTGAACAAGAAGTTAGTAATATAGCACCAGATGCAGCCACATTAATTAGCAAAGGTGATAGTCTTATACTTGCAAGCCATACGGGAGATCCCTCTAGAACAAGCACATTATGTACTTTAATTCAAGATAGACTCAGAGTAATGTGGACTCACATCATGTCAGAAATAGAAGTAATATTTTAAATTATACATTTAATTTTGTATAATTATTTATTGAATTAATTTTTTACAGATAGTAAAACTTCAGACACAAATGTTAAAGAAACAAGTGGAATCATTTAATAAAATTACTCAAGATATTGAAAACTGGATTAATCATAAGCACAATAATTCAGAGGTAGAATAAAATCAAATAGCCTTTGATTGCATGTGATGAAAAAAATTTTAAACTAAGATCAATTAATTAAAACGTATTATTAATATATACATATATATTAATTTTCAGGTATTCGAACGAGAAATCAATATCAAATATGTTAATTTATTAGAATTGGATGAGATAATATTAGATATTGAAGCACTATGTTGTGATAAAGGTGCTGTTAATAAAATGCGATTGAAAATTGTAGAACTTGAAAATAAGTTAAATAAATTAAGTCCTTTGTCTCAACAAGTAAATTTAATGCAAATAATATTTTTAACTGTTTATTTTATATGTGTATAAACTAATATATAATATTTTGAAGCAAAAGGTCAACATACCTGTAGAAACTTTATCTCAAATAGAAGATACAAGAACAAATTTGGGTTCTTTATTAAAACAGTTGAATTTAATACCGTTATCAAATAATTCTGTTGCTCTTCAAAATGCTAAGATTGAAGTAAAATTATTAAAATTAACTTTAAAAAAACTTTGCTCATATTAAACAATTTAATTTTAGGATATTCAAAGTAAGACTGAGGTTTTGAAAAGATCTATTGAAAAAATAAGTTCAAAAAATACTAATGATGAAATATTTGTGCAACGAAATATTGAAAAAATGATGGATACGTGGGAAATGCTTAATAAATGTGTGATTGAACGGACTGGGTGAGATATTAAATTTATATTTTTTTTATTCAATCTATATCTAATATTTAAATGTTTTTAAGCTTATCTAAATATTATTTATTTTTAGACAACTATCTAGCATACAAACAGAAGTTACCAACTTACAACAAAGCGGTAAAGAACTTTCTGAATGGTTAGCAGAAATTGAAAGTGATATGGAAGAAAATAGTTTGACAATGACATTACAAGAGAAAAAAAATAAGCTACACAATTTAGAAAAAAGAGTGTCATCTAGACATAGGTAATTTTTAATCTAATGTCAGAATTTTATTGTTGTAAAGATTTTGACGTCTATATGTTAAAGATGTGGTTTAACAATTCTTACTTCTTACTTACAAATTAGTGAAAATGTTTTCATTTAACAAGGAATACTTTGTAACATCAAATTTAAATTATCAACATTCTGTGGTGAGGGATATATTCTGTTTCAATAATTTTGATCCCATCTCTATACACTACTTTAGCTCTCCCAATTTTTCTTTGTGTTATATCTTTCCTAGTTGTTATTTTTATATTTTATAGTAGTTTTTGAATATGTTAAGTTAAGTTAACTATTTATTAAAATCATACATATTTAATTGTTGCATACAAATTTTAGTTTTTTTTCTAAAGTTTAAGTAGAGTGAAATTCATATTATTAATTTTTAATAATTATTTGATTTATAATTTTTGCTAATCAATTTATTTTTGTTGTATTTAACAGAACAGTTATAAGTTTTCTAAACTGTTCACGAACCTTATGGTCACATTCAGACAGTTTCCAATCAGAAGTTGAGAGCCTAAGATTAAGATGGCAAGCAGTTTTGAATAAGCTGACATTACAACGAGAAAGGTATGAGTAATTTTTGTTCTAAATCTATCCCATAATTTTATCCAATTGGTCAAATGCTGGAAAGAAGGTGTTATTTTTACTCATTTGGCATTTACCCAAATTTTTTATGATTATTTTGTCTAGGGACGTATTATAAGTATTTTATTTTTGTTATTCTTTCTAGACACATTCAGGTAGTTGTTAATAACAAAATAGTTATCAGTCTTTTTCAAATAAAATAAATTTTATAATTTTTAGGGTAAATGAAATGGAAAAATCTAAGTCTGATTTTTCAAATGTTATATCTGCAACTAAAGTCACTATTGATCAAACTTTAAATGTGCTTCAAGCTACACAAGCTAATCCTTCAGAAGTTGATTCACTAAATTCAAAAAGTTGTTTACTAAAGGTATTTATTTTATTAGATTTTTATTTTTTTATTGAAGTAATTTTTTTATGTTTGTTAATCTATGTATTTGTATAGTCCAAAGAAACAGAATTATTAGCTCGAAGAAAAGAATTAGATGCTATTAATTCGAAAAAATTGAAACAACCTAATGATCTTGAATCAATTAAATCACTTCTTGATAAGGTAATAATTTAAAATAATTTTTTTATAAAATCAAGTATCCAATTTACATAAACAAATAAATAACAACTACAATATAGGTACTCAGTTTTAGAATTAATAAATTATAAAATTATTTTTTATCTTCATAATATTTTATATGCTGAGTAGAGTGAGTGAGGAATATATTAATTTTACAAAGATTTGTTTTAGTATGAAATGAGATTTTGATCAGAAAATTTAAACTTTATGAGCTGTTTCTGATATGCAATTTTATCTAATAGTATTTAGAGTTACTGTTTGTACCACCACTTTTTTTTATGAATATTATGAAATTTCAATAAATGCACAATGGAAATAATATGAAGATAATGAGGATGACCCACAATAATTATAAAATATATTAACTTTTTATTAAACTTCTATGTGTGTATTGGAAAGATTTATTATTATAATGAATTATTAATTAAACTCATTTTACAAACGGAAAATGTAGGAAAATACAAATCAATAAAACAAAATAAAAATTATTTTTTCAAGTATAAATCTGTTTATCAATCAGTTTAAAAATCATTTTGTTTGTGTATAACCAAAGTAAATTAAATGTTTTTTATACATTTTTCTAGGTTATATCTGATTTGTCAGATAATTTAGAATGTTTAAATGGAAAATTAAATGCTTTAAACAGATTTATAAGTCAGCTAAAAGAGTTAAATRATTGGGTTGTTGTAAAAAAATTAGAAGTAGAAGAATTTGGTCAAAAACCTATTWCAGAGAGAAAATTAGCAACTGAAAAATTACACGTATGTTTTTATTGCTGTTTATATTGTATAAACTTTTGTTATAACTATACAACTATTTTTTATCTATTAACAATAATATTATTATTTTAGTCAAACTTATCAGAGCGAAATGCTGAAATAAAAGATATTTTAGAAAATTTTACAAATATGGAAAAACAATGTGAAGGAATTGGTCAGCCTGTATCTATAGATTTGCAAGTAATAATATTAGACTAACTTAACAGTTAAAAGTACATTATTTCCTTTGCTGTTTTATTATGTATGTTATATTTTAAAATTATTTAATTTATTGATTAATTTTTGTTTTAGGATAAAGTTAAAAATCTTAGAGACAATTGGAATTATTTGAAAAAAGCGGGTAAGTGAATGTCGCTCTACTGTACATTAGGGGGTGGGGTGGACCTCTGACTAGGGTAGGTTACATTTGAATGCAATGATAGGTATCATTGTATACGAAAAACGATTCTGAACGGGGATGATTTGTCAGTCTAGGATATATTATATTTAAATATTGTCATGTATTCTATTTTTAAACAAATATTTTATTTTTCAATTAGGACACATTTTGCATAARGYATRRTTAATCAATTTTTCCAAAAACATTGCATGTAGTTATCATAATTCATAATACCTTATATTATCATAGATATACATAATATGTATTATACCTGGTTTGAGGATAAATCGTTATCGTTACGCGATTTCATAAAAATTTAAAACTCAAACSCTCAAAACATTTTTCCTATAATGACGCTTCAAATTTTCTCTATAGCTATTTGAAGCAAAACTTATGTAAAACTTAGTGTTGTATTTTTAATCCTTAATTATAAACTCAAAAATTTTTATGATTTTTCAATTTCAAAATTGCTTTCAAATTTTCGTGTTTTCGACAGATTTCGTAAAAATTTGAACTATAAACGCTTATAAAAAAAAATTGTGCCAATGTATTCTTATAAGTTTTTAATCACTCTAAGGATAACTTATGAGAAACTTTGTATTAAATTTTCAAGTATTTTGACAGGGCCAAAAAAATCTTATCGACACTTCAAAAAACAATTGAAAGAAATTTAAAAATTTCAGTCGTTTTTTCAGTCAAATTTTTTGAAAATTAAACTGTATATAGATATCACTACTATAAACATTTGGTGAAAATTTCAAGTATTTACAATGATTAGTTTTTGAATTACARCCATATAAAAAAATCGATTTGATCGAAAACTGGTTTTGCGTAAAAATTCCCGCTTTTCTGTCACTTTTTTTTGTTTTTCTCAATTTTTTTGAAAACTGTTTATTTTTTACCTCTATAATGCACTAAGGATATTCACTTTTACATCGGAAACCACCCCCCAAAGTTTGAAATTGAAGCATTATTTCGACTAGTTATGCTGTACACAGACACAAAAAAAAACGCATCATTGTAAAATCAATACATTCATCACTTCGTACAGAATCTAATATAAAACAAAAATATTAATAGCTTTTATCACAATTATGCTGTATAGATCCTGTTTTTCAGGTTTAAAATAATTTGATATAAAATAATTTATTTTCAAGTATTAAAATATTCAATTAAGTTTTCGTTGCATAAAATGATTATTTATATTTTATTTTCACAATCTGTATATAATATACTAAATAATAGAATTGTTTGAAGTTAAAAATTAGTTAGTCATATTAAAATCACGCAGCTTAAATTAAAAATTATTTCATATAAAACCGTTTTTAAGTATGCCACCAACGTTATTATCAAGACGAAAGTTTGAAACCATTAAAATAGTTTGCATTCAAGTTAACATATCRACGAGAAGTGCATATCGTGGGGCTTATAAACATAGCCTATTCTTTTTAGATTTTTTGCTACTGCAAAACTTGTGTAGTACAAGTATAATACAAAAAAGTTAATACTTTCTCAATTGCGAATTCTGCATTGTGTTTTTGACAAATATTTAATTTTAAACTAATATTATAATATTATCTCATACGACATTATCGTGGTGTCAGCGACGTCCGTCTGTGGCGAAGACGTGGTCGTTATTCGTGTAGAACGTGCGCAGGGATCGATAATATGAAGAGTGCGGAAGAACTTTGGAATACTAACGCTGCCACCTAGGGGTTTTCGTCCTAACGCCGCGACGCGCACGTGTAGGAAAGCTTAGTGGTGGTAGTGRAACGATGACAGTGCGGTAATAGTGCAGTAGTAGTAGTAATAGTAATAGTACATCGGTGGTGGATGCGTGTGTGCGTACATGAATTCTACCCATTCGTAGCCGCCGTTCGCACGATCAGCTTTCGTCAAGTCTACTTATACTTCGCGGAGGAAAAAGTGCCGGCCGGCCAGTCGCGCGCGTACAACACGACTCCACCCACTTGTGTATCAATCGATGAGGGTGGCCACCGCCGTGCCGAGCACACGGTGCAGATCTCGCGCGCGCTACTTGTTCCGGTCTATCCGCGCGTCCCGCATCGACAGGACGTGCTTCTCCTCGACCCTTTTCCCAGCCACCCGGGTGGCATTTAGCCACGCGGCCGCCACCAATCACCAACACTTCGTTTACTTATAGGGCTCCGAATTTATTTTTTATTTTTATTTTCACGCATTTTCTTTACTTTTTTTWAATTAATTTGTTTTCCTTACACTTAACCGCTTCTATACAGTTATCGATACACAATTAAAGAGTAGGTAATTCATGGATCATGTTTCGATCGTAAGTATATAGTAATAACATCTTGTCGCTACCGACTAAACTAATAATTCCCATACGACCCCATTAATGTTCTTATTATAGACTTTCGTATTGGTGGTGATGGTTTTGCGATAGGTGTAGTTGGCGCTGTTTGATTTTATGAGACTTCATTGCATACTTTTTTTAATAAAAAATTCTTCGCTAACCCTTTACATAAATTACATAATGTTTATTTTTAATTCAATTATTTTTGATTATGTTTTACGTTTTGGTTGGTTTTGTATTTTTATGTAGGTTTATTTTTCTGTTGTACTATGAGTATGGTATAGATTTACTTGCATAGATTTATGTAAACATAATTTAATATTTAATTTTCAAAGTTTTTTGTTATGTGGATTCGTTCGATTTTATTTTGTAACAATTATTGTCAATTTTATACCAGTTACATTTGAAACTAAATAGCATACAAAATGTGTTTTAAAAGATGTTATATTTCAAGTAACTTCGATTTCAGTAAAAACATTTTTAAATTTAAATCAACTATATTATTTACAAAATCAAAATAGTTTAATTATAAATCTTTACCAAGCTTTAACTATTGTTATTGTTATGTTTAGTAAAACTATTTACTATAATATATATAAATATAAAATTGTATTTACTTATTTTTATAAAATAAATAATTGAAAATTATTAATTAATGTATTTATATGTAGTTTTAGTATTATTTATGTGTCTGAATAATTTTACAGCAGAAGAAAAATCTCCATTCAATTCATCAGATGCACTTCTCAATTTATTAGCTAGTTTCGATAAATCAATTCTCCAAGTATTTATTTGTATGAAATATAAATGGTTATATTTTAATAATTAATATTTACTGTAGATTTGTGATTGGCTGGCTTTAGAAGAAAAGATGTTGCGTCAACAATCAGTTACTGTAGGGGATGTTGACGATATACTTCAGCTCATTGATAAACAAAAAGCAAGTATTAAACGATTTAATTTACGTTTGAAGTGTGAAATTAAAATTTAGTAACTATATACATAATTAGAAATTGAAATTGTGTTAATCCTTATAATTATAATTATTTTTATAGATGTAAAAATACTCTGACATATTGTTTTAGATGTAATATAATTGTGATTCTTACAACCAAATGACTTATGAACCTTGTGTGTTATGAGTAGAGCTAGGATTTTGGTGACTTTTGCATTTTTTTTCTTTAAGTGTTATACAATTCTAACCTAAAACTTAATTTGTTTTGTGATATAACAATTTAGAATATGTAATTTTTATTTTGTATTTTTTTGCATTTTTTGTGTTAAATGCATTTTATTGCATTTTTAAGGTCATTTTTACGTAATATTACAAATATTACGTTCATTTTGTGTATTTTATACGCAATTACCTACCCCAGTCCATTGATATTGAAAAAGTAATATAAGAGTAAGTAAGATAAGATTATACATTGAACAAACTCAAAACTATATAGGTATACAATAGTAGGTTTAGTAGTAAATACGATTATTGATTTTTCAGAATAATTATACCAGGAAGCGGTTAAATTCACAATTCAAATTTATACCTATTTTATTCATAAATCATAATTATTAATTAATATATAAAAAATAAATTTTTTCCACTCATCAAAGTATATTTTTTGGTCATTTTTTAAGTTCATTTTTTAGAGTTTTTAGGTAGTTTTTGCATTTTTGTGTATTTTTTAGGTMATTAAAATCCTAGCTCTAGTTATGAGTATTTTATTTTTATTCTACGGAATATTTTTTGAGTGAAATTTATTTTTATCAAATGATCTCTTTTTTGATTGTATCAAAATGTAAATTGGATATGACAAATCTCTATAATTGTACCTTAGAGCTTGCACAATATAGGAGTATACAATATAAAATAAATACTATCTTTATTATTTTACCACACAATAAGGTATCTAAATATTCTACTTTACAAAAAAGCATTGTCACATCTATTTGTTATGAGATTGAGAATTATTTCATAATATAATAGAATAATACAAATATGCCATTAAGTCTTCCATAATAATTTTTTGTGTATAATTTTTAATTATAAGAAATTAATCATAAAAAATTATTTTTGATTTTGTGTAAGTAATAAATATTGTGTAAAAATTCTGAAATAAGAAGAATTAATCATCAGCAAATTAGGGGGTGCCAAAATGTTACTGCCCACAGGTGGTTAAATCTTATATACTACCCTGGTGCTACCTTTAATTTATTTCAGTGAAGTTTAAGATTTGTTTATTATAAATATTCATTTTTTTTTAAATTTATGCTCGTCATTGAAAAAAATGTCTAAATTAATATTTAAATATAAATACTTAATAAAAACTAAATACATCATGTTATTGATTTGTTAATTTTATTAAAGTGGTAAAAATGATGGATTAGGTTAACAAATGATTGTTTATTTTCATGAATGTGTTTACACAATGTCACCATGGCAATAAAATGTCTTGATAGTTTCTAGAATATTTCATTATTAATAAGACATTTCCGGCTGTCATGTTTTGTGATAGGGACTTTTGTATTTATTTATTTTCAACAATGCATATAATAATGTGATATTATATTGTTATATTTGTAAAAAAAATATATTTTAATATCATTATTATTTATTTGTTCAATTGTTAGATCCTACAAATTTGGTTTTAAATAATATATTATTATTTTCAACTATTACTAAAAATGTTTTAACCAGTAAAAATGAATTAATTTAACATAGTTCAATAAACATTCTTATCAAAAATATATACAAACTAATACAGTTTCTTATTTTACATATAGAACGTATTACGGGAGTTGGAACAAAAGAAGCCTCAATTAGATGAACTAGTTCATACTGCTGAAAACCTTAAAGCTGATTCAAATCGACAACAATTACATGGCAAAGGTAATTTATTGTTAGTTTTAAATAAATGATGTATGTTGTATGCATCATTTAATATTATTATTCTGTAGTGACTAAATTGCGTGAACATTGGGATGAAACTAATAATAAAGTAATGCAACGCAAAACTGAATTAAATGCAATGTTGAGTGATAGTCAACGTTATGAAACAAAAAAAATGGAAATAGATACTTGGTTAACTAGAATGGAGAATAGGTTACAGCGAATGAATTCAGTCGGCAACACAGCGGATGTATTAGATGCACAACAGAGAGAACAAAAAGTATTGAATAAATATTATCAAACATTAATATAAAATTAATTTTTAATATTAACCTTGTATTCATGAATTGTTGTAGTCATTCCATGTTGAGTTACATCAATACAAACACCAGATTGATTTATTTAATCAACTTACACAAAAATTAATTGCAGTTTATCAAAATGATGATACTTCCAAAATTAAAAAATTAACAGAACAAGTACATCAAAGATTCCAAAACCTTAATTCAAAGTAAATTTTGTTTTAGACTTTAATGATAAAGATTATATTTAGTTATTAATTGCTTAATTTCTTTTTAGCATTATAAGTCGAGGAAAAGTATTGCATTCAGCAATAAACTCCCTACAAAATTTAGACAAATCATTTGAAAACTTTTTAGGATGGTTGTCTGAAGCAGAATCATCTATGGAAACAATTGAAGCAGAATTTGATAGATGTAATACACTCAAACGTGAAAACACTACAGCAATGAACCAACTGAAAGTATGTAATTGACTATTTTATGTAACATACTAGCTTAAGTTTGAATAACAGATCTTTAATGATACGAGGGTGGTTCGGAAAGTAAGTTCCGTTTTAGTATAAAAAAAATACTCAATGCATTTATAGACTTTTTATTATATACAACTTACAGAGCATACATTAAACTATTTTTCTACATAATTTCCACCAACATTTAAGCACTTGTCGTACCTATAAAGAAGTTTTTYAATTCCCACTGAATAAAATTCAGTCGCCTGTTCATTTAGCCACTGGTTGACGTGATCTTTCAACTCATCGTCGTTCACAAAGCGCTACGTCCCAAGTCATTTCTTCATATTGGGGAACAGGGGAAAATCACTTGGAGCTAAATCAGGACTGTAGGGTGGATGATTAAAAACATCCCAACCAAATTGAACCAAAAGTTCACGAGTTCGTGCTGCGGTGTGAGGACGTGCATTGTCGTGAATGAGAAGAACGCCATCAGTCAACATTCTCCGTCTTTTGTTCTGGATCGCTCGCTTAAGTTTCTTTAATGTTTCACAGTACACTGTCGAATTAATTGTGGTGCCCCTTTCCATGAACTCCACCAAAAGGACCCCTTTTCTGTCCCAAAAAACACAGTAAGCCTGGCTATCAATTGAGCCGGCGGGAATTTCTCTCGCAGCAGCCATTTTATTTTATTTCTAGAGCGCGTAGAATTACCCGATTAACCTTCGCAGTGTACTGACAGACGCAGATTGAACCAGTTTATGCGACGCCGCCAAGACCCTGCCTCTACTCCCACTCCTCCGCTCAGTAACCGCAATCGGAACTTATTTTCCGAACCACCCTCGTATATTAGGTATTTAATTATTATTTAATTAGTAATATTGACTTAGTAGTAAAGGTAGAACCTTGCCCTATCCCCCTAAAGCTCTTACTCTTTTGTGGAAAAGACAGTTGCAGTTAAATTATTAATACTTTCAAATTTAATAAATAGTTAATATTTTTACTCAAATTCACCATAATCAGTCAAGGGTTTGTCAAGTTTGTTCATCTGTTGAACTACATTTTTGACAATTATATTTATAATATTCAGGAGGAGGTATAGTTTAAGGAAAATTGTATATTAGGCTATCTGTAATAGTTTGCACTAGAAATATAATATAAATGTTGAATAATAATTTATAGGTTATTCRTGATATTTGCAATGCTCGTATATTATACCTCAATACATGTTATTCATTAAATATAACTAACTAGTAAAATGTTGTGTAGTTGTAATGTAATTTAAAATTAATTTTTTTTTATATTCTATACTAAATTGTTCACATAATTATATCCTATAGTAATTAAATTAATTTCTAATATTCTTGCATTTATATAAATTTTGAATTATGAAGAGGTCGTATAAATACTTAAGATTTAATCCCATATTCCCATATTATGATATAATATTAATGGTATATCTAAAAAGTTAAGAGATAAGGGATAACATTGACTTAAAAATCATTTGAACATTTTTAAAACCAAACCCTAGTGAAATATAGTATGTGCTTTATACTTTGATGATTAATGTAATGGAAATTGTGGTAAAAGAGAGGTACTGATTATGATTTAAAAATTGAGGTGATAAGCCTGTCTCAGGATATATATTATWTAGTACTTATATACTGTGGTACCAAAACCTATGTTAAGGCTGGGTCTTATTTTGAAAACTTAGGATATACCCCACTTCATATGATCACTTTCCCCTCCACAGTACACCATTTTTGCCAATATTAAGATACTGGGCCTCTTTAAATGTTATTCCCCTTATTAGATTTTTAGGACTTTAGCGCCACTGTTTATATATATTTATTGTTCACTTAAATCTGTGTATGTCTAGTAAGTCATTTTTATAAAAAACTGAAAATTGTGCTTAACAGTGAAGTTTTTCTTGGTATTTTATGTTCATTACCTTACAACCACAAAAACAGCTTTATTTTATTTATGTCTAATTTTTAATTATCTGTTGGGGCTATACAAAATTTTTTAACTCCTACGTTTTTGAATGGCAACGTCCATTTTTAAATTAATATTACAATCCAGAATACTTATTTTAGTTAATATTCTTACATGAGTTATTGTTAAAATTTGATTTTTATGTAACAAAATATTCCAGACATTTTTTTTTTTTAAATACAAAATCAAATAGGTATGCAAGTTGGCAATATATTGTGGGATAGTCACGATAACTGTGTGTTATAAACTCAAACTTAAAATTAAATTCAATGATAAATTATTTACATTTCTGAATATAGATTATCTGTCAGCTTTGAATATTTTATATTTTATTTATAAAACTAAGTAATTTATTTTACTATTAGTGCCTACTGTATTATATTAGTCTATTTTTTTCTTAAGTTAACATTGTATTTATTATATTATTAATGATTAATAATTAATTTAACAATCTACCAACTAAGGTTTCCATTTACCAAACAATGATTTAATAATATTATTAAAATTTTGACAAAATTTCCTTTGTGTGTGTGTGTGTTTCTTATGATTTTTTTTCTTTTAATGCTCAATAGTTGTATTGTTATACAATTAATTAATTTTAATATTAATACTCAAACAGAAGGTTGAATTAATTTTTTCCGAAAACATCACATTTATTATTAATTGTATTATTATAGAATATATTTACAAAATAAATTATTGATATAAACTTTTGTGTCAATACCAAACAAGGATGAATCTAGGATCTTTCATGGTGGGTGCTATTTTTCGTTTTATGGCCCTAACATTTTTATTAATAATCATCAAAAAAAAATCATAATTTGAAGCTTAAACGGCTAGGAAAATCAGTTGTGCAATGTGCATTTGTTTTGGATGTATTACAATTACATAAACAGTTCAACATATAATTAGTAACACATACATAAGTATTAAGATACTTAATTGTATCAAAAGATTAAATTAATTATTTTATGTTGTTATTTTTATATTATTTATATGTCGTAACCACTACGCAAAATCGATCTTTTCATGAAAAGACGATCATTTCATGAAATGAAAACACGTTTTTTACACTTTGTGAAATTTAAAAATATTTCACGAACTGGTCACTTTTTCATGAAATGTTCACTCAAATTTAACATCGCGTAATTTTTTTCACAAAGTGGTCATTCACTTTGTGTACTGAAACACAACATATTTAACAACTATAAATTTAACTTCAATAATTATGTATAGTAATAAAGTTTATTTATATCATATTAATTTATTAACCGAATTGTAAACATTTTTTATTTATTAGAGCAGGAAAAAACGCACTATTTCTCCAAAAATAAATTAGTTTTATTCAATTTATTTTCTTTTTATATATTTTTATAACAATAGTTGTTTTTATTTTATTTAGTAGACGATATTTTCATTTATATTTTGACGAGAAGTCAAATGATTTTAAGTTTCATTTATGTTAAATTTAAATTTTGTGTTGTTTATATTGAAAAAGGTTTTCATAACTATTCTATTTACATGATAATAATAAAAAGGTTTATCAATCAATATTAATAGTGTTGATTAATGTTATAATATTTAAAAATAAAGAAAGTAAATGTATAATAACAGGGCCGGCCCAAGGTATTTTGACGCCACGGGCAACTTTTTGAAAGGTGCCCTTAATCAAATGCTCCATAATAGATTTAATACTTTTTATACTTACCTATATATTTTGTTTGAAATTCTTATATTTATGAATAGGTAAAGGACGGCAAAACTTATTTGGATACAATTTATAGACGTATCGGCTGTAACACATAATTTTTTGGTTTTCCCGAGATAATGATTATATTATATCATTGTATATTATTTTTTAATTATTTGTAATATAACGATAAAAACTGGAAAGTGGAGTAAAATCTATAAATATATATATATGTATATATAACAGAATATTCCGTCATAGATAATTTAGTCATTTAGCTATATTATTGTCGATTTGAATAAATATTACGCTAAAATTTATAAAATATTCGTATATTAAAAGCGCCCCTAAAAAAGTAGCGCCCAGTTCGCCCGGTTCGCCCGTATCTTGGGCCGGCACTGTAAAATAATATACTTAAATACGTATCATAAAAAAAATTATGTTATACCTAATACAAAAGATGTTACATGCATGGGTGGTAAGTATGGTATACCTACAACCTATTTTTTTAATGAACTATTTTTTTTTATAATATGGTATTGTAAAATTATAGGAAACAGTCACTTAAAGAAATCAGAAATAAAAAATCCTGTGCTTCAAAGKAATAAATATTTAGTGAAAATTTCAAGTTTTTACAGTGATTAGTTTTTGAATTACAACTATATAAAAAATTCGATTTGGTCGAAAACTGGTTTTGCGTAAAAATTCTCGTTTTCCTGTCACTTTTATTTTGTTTTTCTCGATTTTTTTGAAAACTCTCGGAAAATTTTTACTTTTGAAAATTTGAAATTGAAGCATTATTTCGACTAGTTATGCTGTACTCAGACACAAAAATAAAAATAAAACACGTAAAATCAATACATTCATTACTCCGTTCAGAATCTAAAAAATTTTACTATACGGTTAGGTAATAATTAATATGATATAAATAAACTTTATTTCTATATATAATTATTTAAGTTAAATCTATAAGAGTACAAGGGTAGAATAAGTTGTTAAATGTTGTATTTCAGTACACAAAGTGGACAATCATCTTGTGAAAAAAATTACATGGTGTTAAATTTGAGTTACCATTTCACGAAATGGTCATCTTTTCATGAAAAGATCGATTTTACGAAGTGGCTACGACATATATTTTATTTAAATCACGAAAAACCAGTGTACCTCAAAATGTCTACATCACTGCTTTGGTCTACGGGGAGRCCGTTCCAAAAATTATATCTTATTTCGGTATGTGTAACGGTGGGTGCTTCAGCACCCCAAGCACCCCATCTTAAATTCGCCCCTGATACCAACTTTGTATAGAAAGGTCAAAGGTATGAATAGG